CATATTCTCCCGACCACACGCGGATATGTTGAATATATTATCTTTTCTATTTATATTGCCTACTACGTTAGTAACGCATTAGATTATGCACAAAAAAACAATCTTTGGTTTGTTGTCGTTCGGATGCACCATCATAATATAATTACTCACATCCAAACTCCAAACGGTGATTTTATCACCGATTTGGACATATTATTTCGATTCTAACACGAAAACAATTGATAAATACTGTCGTACCGATATAAGGATATATTTCGCCTGATTGTTTCCGTACTTATTTTCAGCGCGTCGCATTTTAGTGGTTATGTCACATATCTAATGATAACGTCACACGTCTAAATTAAGAACTTCAACAGTGATTTTATTGCATAATTAACCACACTTTCGATCCTTCTATGTTCCATAGGGTCGTGTTAGAATTTTTTATTCATTTATTCATTTATTAACTCTTTTACTCAGTTACTTGTTGCGATCCCTAGTAAAGAGTGATTTCAATAAATTATATAATTAGTGACTGTTGATGTTGATAATATTCCCAAGTATGCGCTCTAAACCTGCGCCAAAAGTACACTTCCACGCGTTTTTATTCGTCAAATAACGTTAGCATGTGCTCATTAAAAATGTAAAACAATCTGTCTAAAGAATAAAAGCAATCTCCTTAATGTTTCATGTCAATTATTTTCCCTCATGTAACATGTTAAAAGTATAATAGAGACTTAACATCATGTTTTGAGTCATGCCTTTTCCAATAATTTTTAACCTTGGAAATGATTGTGTTTACATATTGAATTGCGAGTCGGAAATCTGATGTGAACTTTGCAGGTGAACAAACTTTTCATAACGTCATCCAATGTTTAAGTAAGTTAAAAAAGATATTCTATATGCTACTTGATAGCAATATTTATGCTGTTTAGTGCATATTGGGTTACTTTGATACGAGGGTTATTTATCAATACATTTTATTTTTTCTTACCCCTAATTCAACTAGCACATCGTAAAATTTAATTTTATCAGCTTAAGTTTATTTGTAAGTTAGTTTAACTTTCTCGTAATTTATCCAGGTCTTAGACCAATGTGGCAGAATATAGATATACAAATATATTGATATACATACAAATATATTGACCAGGTAAAGTAACATGCTTAACAAATAAAAGTATCAAATATATTCATAATTAATAAATGTTGTTTTTATAAAAAAATATCAAAGTTAACAAATTCCCCTTCATAAATATATAACATATTATAGTGTACATAACAAAAAGTATTTCGGTTTTCAAAATCGGTGACATTTTGTCCGAAATCGAAAGTAATAAATAAATGTTTTCCGTAGAAAAAAGTCATACAGTAAGAATTAAATGTATGGTTATTACATAATTAAATATATCCTTATTCTTTAAAATTGATATTTTCTCTATACTATACCTTCGTTCTTTTTCAACATGGATACTTATAATATATTAAGTCATTTGTAATAAGAGCATTTTTTGTGTCCAGTGATTCGGTAAATGTTAGCATTTCTGAACGTCTACATTATGAAATGTACATTTTAAAACGAAATGGAATTTGTCTTCTAATGCATAACATACCCTACATTTTTGTACAGGTCTCCATCGGCCTGTTTCAATGAAAAAATCTATATGATTATAAACGTTATAGAGACAAACCTATGCGAAATTTATTAACATTAACAAAATCCAGATATTATAGTTGAAATGTATCATTCGAAATATATTTGTAAAATATAGATGTACTTGAGTCGGTCAATCTGTCTTACCAGTTCAGTATAAATTAATATTTCATTCTTTGTTTAAAGTGGATTTGTCTACAATTTTCTATCAGAATGTCAATTGTTGATAAAACAATAAAAATGTATCATTTAGATATTCTTATAATAATATAACTTGAACAAAATGTTGGTAAGTAATTTAGTATGGTAATTTATAGGATGAATATTTTGTTCTAATTTATTATCTACTATATCAATAAATATAATATCGAATCATGTATGTCACACTTGCCAACGTCATCCATATATAATTAGTTCGTGTTTTGTTGTAAGTTTTGATAGAAGATATTAGCAGCGTATTTATTTATTGTATTAAAGACCTTCTATTATAGACCAATTCATTTTAGCATTTAAGTAAAATAACTTTGATTTTGCAACTGCCTAAAACATACATTTGAACTTCATTTAACCAAGTGTATGTATTTGTAAATCTCTTAATAATGAGCATCAATTCTTTCTAATTATTTAGATGCTATTCAATATCGTCTTTTGACATTAGATATACTGTTCTGTTCTATTTGATTTCATCTGTTTCCAACAACAAGCTGAAGGTTATAAAAACCTTATCGTATGAACTTAAGACAGTGCGCCAAACGTTCCATCGGGTCATCGGGTGGGATGACATTGAAAATTCCCTTGCTCTTTTAAGCAATTGCCTATGGATAAAAAGTTATACGTTACAATAGAGGGAATATAAAATTTACATCTAACACACTCTCGTATTAATAATGTTGAACGTTATGTGTATTTTAAAAGGGCATCCCATATGGTCAAGGACCAGCGTAAAAACACTTTAATGCAAACGATTGGAATTTGAGGCCGCCAATGTCAATTAAATTTAATCTTTTCCAGGTGCTCAGAGAAAGACGGTAAATAACCACGGTTTTTAGGGACAATCCCGACTTAATCAATGTCACGTACTATGCTAGTAACTTTCAGTGTTTTGAGACAGGGTCACTGAGCAAATCTAAATAACCTGAAGGTACAGGCATAATTATATCACGTGACCATCACAAAGAAACCGTGTAGGCACGCACAGTTATGGTCAGACTTCAAAGCCCCGCATTCGAAGCATACTTACTTTTCCGGCGATCATTGTGAACAATGTTATATACGTAAATCTCTTTTCTGACTGTCAAAACTACGAGTCACAAATGTGAGTGAAATGATAGCAAACTGAAATATCAAAGTGACATGCTTGCTCGATCCAAGAATCAAAAACTTTTTCATCACACAAATTCAAGCTCTTCGCAACAATATTCTTGTGTACAAGATAAAATCCCCGATGACAAATCTGACCCAATGTTAAACTGGTTTATTACCCAAATAAACAACCTACTGTACCCATTGACGTACATACGCAAAACGAACAGCGATGTAGCAGATAGGCCATTAACCCACAGGCACAAGTATCGGACCTTGGAAGAAAAAATATGACCAGATTGTTAAAAAAAAACTGTGTTCATCTTAAAAGTGTCAAACAAAACCAAAAAAAAAAAAAGTAAATAATGACCCCCGTTAAAAATATACTATAAGTTAAGAGAAGGCCGGAAACTCTAGATTCGAGCCTACGAGCAAGGGATTCATTTCCCGGGTCGTTGTGAAAACAATTGGCCAGACAATTAAAAAAAAAACTTTTATCACTATTTCACGTTTGTATTAAGCTTCAAAATGAGACCAACCTCAAGTCTCTAGCCCTTCCCGTTCATGAAATATCTATCAGGAAACGAGCGAATTCGTGCTAAAATCCTTGGTAGACAGAATTGCGGCACAACAATTCGGTACGTAAACATAGACTAATAGTCTAATACATGTATGTCAGCTGAGTAAGGGTCAAAATCACTTGAATTTACTAAATATTATTACTAAATACATTAAGTTGGACCACTCACAACTGTCAGTAGCATCTGATACACACGAGATTCGAGTTTCAAACCTTTACACGGTCTTTCAATCGCTTTCTACGCCATTAGGCATTCTTGTGTGAAACGTTGCGGTTTTCGTTGCTATTGGCCAATCAGAAGACTCGTTACAAAATATCGAACAGCTGATTGACAATGGCGTAGAAAGGAATCTAAAGACCGTGGAAAGGTTTGAAATTCGAATTTTGCGTATATCAGATGCTACTGACGGCTGTGAGTGGTCCAACTTAATGTATTTAGTAATATTATTTAGTAAATTCAAGTGATTTTGACCCGTACTCAGCTGACATACATGTATTAGTCTATGTTTACGGACCGAATTGTTGTGCCGCAATTCTGTCTACCAAGGATTTTTAGCACGAATTCGCTCGTTTCCTGATAGATATTTCATGAACGGGAAGGGCTAGAGACTTGAGGTCGGTCTCAATTTGAAGGTTAATACAAACGTGAAATAGTGATAAAAGTTTTTTTTTTAACTGTCTGGCCAATTGTTTTCACAACGGCTCGGGAAATGAATCCCTTGCTCGTAGGCTCGAATCTGGAGTTTCCGGCCTTCTCTTAACTTATAGTACATTTTTAATGGGGTCATTATTTACTCTTTTTTTTCGACACTTTTAAGATGAACACAGGTTTTTTTTTAACAATCTGGTCATTTTTTTTCTTCCCAGGTCCGATACTCGTGCCTGTGCATTAACTCGTCGTGTGAGTATTCTCCGACGTCAACCTTCCCCATGTTTCCCACCAGATTGCCGTCCATTCAACAGATCCGTGATCAGTTTTATGACGATGTCATCAACAGCGCAACAAACAAGTTACGTCACATAAGACAAACAGGGGTCAGTGAACAATATTAAATTTATGTTTGCAACAGCATGGGTTTAAACCGAATACCTCAAAAGTGATGAACTAAACATTGAAACGCCTAACGTGTGTAACCTAACGTGTGTGGTATCAAAACAAGACCAAACTTCCCATAATTTATAGTTTAGAATCACACAACGAGATTTTTTTTTGAAACGAATTTACGTAAAATAGGGTATGTAAGTCTCGTCATGTGACTTGCGAGATTTCACGATATTTTGCGCTTCCGGGTACAAACAAATATCAACAACATTGCTTATCTATATTGGGTAATACTTGTATGCCGGTGGGAAAGTAAAACTTACATGGAAAAGCAAATGATATGTGGAAATTGACAGAGTTTTTTGTTTTGTAACGAAATGCAAATGGTTTCATCTTGTGAACAAGTATCAATGAAAGACAACTTCGTATAATCTACAGGTGGGTGTGTCATTTCAAATTCAGTTTATCCCAATAAATGTTGTAATATTTTCATTTCCATGTAAATCTAATAAATTTGTTTTTTGATACAACATCATTCGCATCTGACACCATACTGGTGAATTTGATTTTATCAATTTTCTATAGCGCTACCTGATTATCTCTCAGAAGAATATAATGTTTAGAAATTTCGGACAGCGCATATTTCGGATAAACGTTTCAATATGATTATCAGTGTGTTTTAGTTGAATATATTTTCTTCCAACTGAAAATATTATTTATTTATAATTATTATCTTTATAAAGCACAAACAGTCAAGCTGTATATAACCAATTTAAATTGTCATAAAATTCAATGAAATATTTTGCTCCTGTAGATATTTTGACTGAGGACAGTGGTGAGATGAAAGACGTCAGTATCCATTGTAAATACACATGCATGCTCTGCTGTAAAATCGTTTTGGTAAGAAATATATACTTAAAGCTACTTAAACTACATTAATGAAAAATAAATATTATATTGTATAACATATAATGTTCTCGTTTTTGTAAATAATTACAGTGTAGCTAAATAAACAAACAGTATGGCATATGTAGTTAATTCCACAGACGCTTGGGGGTCAGATCCTGCCCCCCAACGTGATACGCCCCTGTAAACACTCTGTCAAAAATATTTTAATATTTAAACACGAATGGGACATCTGCTACAACGATACAACTGGTTTTCGATCAATTTTTACATATCTGAAAAAATTACCTTTTACCATCAAGTCTCAATTTTAGACTTGATGGTAAAAGGTAATTTTTTCAGATATGTAAAAATTGATCGAAAACCAGTTGTATCGTTGTAGCAGATGTCCCATTCGTGTTTAAATATTAAAATATTTTTGACAGCGTGTTTACAGGGGCGTATCACGTTGGGGGGCAGGATCTGACCCCCAAGCGTCTGTGGTTAATTCATGTTAAATACTGTTTAAAGTATTTTTCTCAAGTAAGTGGGTCATATTTTTTAGTAAAATCATGTTCAGTAAATGGTTAAAAGAACTTAGTCACTATCACATTTTTTAAAGATCAGTTGTCAAAGCAAATCTACAAAAACACCAAGAAGTGTTTCTTCCTTTTCAACATTATTTTCTATTCATTACAATATGAAATTTATAGCTGACCAATTATGATTGCTTTCAACTCATGATAAATTTTCTTTATATACAGGTATGTGATTTCATGGTTGGATCTTGAGTACTTGTCATTGCTCTTGATTTATTTTGGAGTGTTCACCATCAGATTAGAAATCAAATAGTGATACCACCAGGCATAGTTGAAAGGAAATGTCCATACACAGTCTTGAAGTACATAGTGGTAGAGACATTACATATTTTGACTGAATTAAAGCTTCTTAAAGCTCCATGTCTTGTATAAACTGTCTGACTGAATGTTTGTATTCTAATAAAAACTAAGGTTGAAGACACTTCAAAGATATATGTCAGTGTAAAAATGTTAAACAAAATATCTGTCTTTGTTAGAAATAAATAACCTGTCTTTATTAGAAATAAATAACCTGTCATTTGTAACTTTGTATTAACTTAATTATTGAAAGATAATTTATCTTCTGCAAATGGCTGCCCAAAACAGTTTCAACCAGGCATCATGTAGTTTCAAAACAGTTAAGATAAATTTGTTATAAATAGACTTGTAAATTAACAGGAATGGTAAAAAGATAAATGTTCAGCATTAAAATGTTTCTATCTTGATTGAGTTTCATTTCATATTATCACCATGATCACTGCAATTGTAAAAGTAATGTAATCTTTAACCATTATTTAAATATCATAAAAATCATCTCAAAGAAAAAGTTGTTTCTGAGGCAAGATGTGTAAAATTCCTTCCAGTTATAGCCTTTCACTGCTCTTAGAAAAGCCATGATTTGCATTGTACATGGCAGGTAGTAATACCAGAGTAAACAATATTAATGCAATTCATCTGTGTTGAGTATTCTGTAGCAAAACACTAGCTTGCTAGCCCTTGTAAGCCCAAGTCTCTCTTAATTGGAGAAGACTTGCAATTCTGCATTCCTTGAAGAGTTTAGTATCAGAGGGGTAGTTATTACATACCATATACTTCTTTGGGTTTCAAATTACTTGTTTTATAATGTATTGAACCTGATGACATTTGACCAAAAGTGAATTGTCTATACAATACATGCAAAACTTAGGGTTTGCACTTGATACAAAACAATTACATCACTGATACATTAATATACTCATTGGAACTGTTTCAAAATTGTCAATGTTTCAACAAAAAAACAACAACAAAAACACCACACAATGCTTTTAACTTCTGTCCATGTACATATGTGTAAATGTAGTCATTGAAGAGCTGTCAAGAACTTTTCATCAATATTATTTAGATAGTGTCTGTTTCGATTTCAGGACAGACAAAATTTAAATGACATGCATAGTATTTAATATAGTCAATGCTTGCATATTCAAGCAATCTAGCAATTGCTGTTAGAGAATTAAAGTACAAAGTGACACTTATTTTGCAGATGAACTCTTATGATCAAGCACTGCCATAAATATATGACAAATACATGTAGTAGAAACAAAAAATAGTTCATAAGTTTAATAAACTTTTATTTTTACACAATTTATAGTGCACTAGCTGCTTAGCATATATATCACACTGATTTTCCAGTGGAAGAAAAACTTCAGGAAAGCACTTGGAATTATTATTAGTTATTTGGACAATGTAACTTTACACTGTGAATGTCTACTGATACAAGAATAAGAATATTTCCTTTTACAAATGTAAGACCTTGAAAATTAACATGAACAAATTATCATAGAGTTATAAATCATATTCTAATTGAAAAATGTTTAGCTTGATATCAAAGCTTTGATTGCAAATTTGTGAGCTTACCTCACAATATTAGTAGTAGATGATATATAATATGTTTGCTAATCTTTACTTCATAGTCATTTAATGTCCATAATGTCATATGACTATACTGTGATTCCATGAAAAAACCTTATCTCTGGTGTGTTATCAGCTTTGGTATATATAGAGTATCTAGTTTTAATACTTAAAACTGCAATGAAATGTGGATATTTTACTCTGTTTCTATCATTGTGACATTAACATGTTAACAAGATCATAGTGTCAAACACCATAAAATCATACTCTTTATACATTAAGATTTTTGTGCTGGATGTCATTCATCTTCTTCAGGAAAGTACATTTGACTATTCTCAGTGACTTATATTAAACTAATATTTCACTGTAACTGTGTGTTCTCTGATATCATTCTCAAATTAAGGAACTGGAAGATGGTAGTTGCAATAAAGGTCTTCATGGACAAATCCTCCTTCATCTTTTCCCTTTTTATCTTCAGAATGAAAAATCAATAAATATGTTGTTACAAGTGTAAGACTCGAGAAATGATATTTACATTACATTTAATAAGCTGGTCATGATTGACAGAAAAATTTCATATTTGAAGTAAATAAACATTAAAGATAAACAACAACACATAATATATAACAGCCAAAAATATTGATCTTCTTGAATGTGAAACATGACTATTTTTAATGTTTTATTTACTTATCAATTATCATGCAGTGAAATCCAAAAGTTATTAAATTATAATAATATACTTTGATAATTGTTTATCTTTCCGATCTCAACTAAAAATTAATCAATTATTTTACATGTATTTACCTTTGATGTATAGATATTTCAGGATCATAGGCAGTTCAAACTGTTGATTAATGGTCCATATTGAACAACTGTATATTCTATACTTGTCATATACCTCCTTGTCTATACATCTGAAATGGTTTAATCAAATATTATATTTTTTAATTCAATCATAATTTGCTAGGTACCATATAAACATATATATATAATTGAAAAAGGAACAAGAATAAAATGGAAGGGAAAAAATATCCGAATTACTGTGCAATGTCCGAATTTTGTATAACTTTAATATACACTAGAATTAAAGTGTTTCTCCATTGTTTATTTCAATAAGTTTAAATGGTTTGAATTAATTTCTCACATCAGTAGTTTTAAAACATTACTAAAAGCTAAACAACTAGAATTCACTACCTTGACAAAACATCCGAAACAATTGTCACTATCCGAAAATAAACTAGTTGTATTAAACTCTATAAATCCCTCGTTTTTCCGTCAGATGATTGACCTACCTGCATTTTTTTACCCATGCTATCCATTCCTTCAAATCTGAAGAGGACCGAAACAAATTTAACTTCTATATCCCTCGAGTTCTTCGGGTTACCTATATGCGTAACGGTAAATAAGTCTGCCGATGTACCCGGAAGTGGTAAATCGAAAGTGAAAGTAAACGAGACTTACGGGCCCTATTGCAATATATGACGAAAGTAACATTGAAAATTATGTTATTTTCTTTATGGATTCTGTTTCTCCCTAATCTATTATAGTGTAGAGATATAAGCCTAAAATTGTCCAATATGTGAAATATTGGATTTTATGAGGCGCGTGGGGGCTTCCGTGGCCGAGTGGTTAAGGTCCTTGACTTCAAACTACTTGCCCCTCACCGCTGTGGGTTCGAATCCCGACAGGGACTTTGGATTCTTTCATGTGGAGGTGGAACTCCGGCTCATCGTCGTTGATCCAGTCTTCACCACTGAGGATGATAATATCATCATATTGGGGAGTCTGAACATACCGTTCTGACTGACTTCCATTGTTCTCCTTTCTTCTCTTATTCTTTCTTCTTCTTCCCTCTGTATTTTCACCACTTCATCCTGCAGCTCAAGTACTTCCCGACCAAGTCTACTGTAGAGCGTCATCACCCTATCCATCTTTGACTTAAGAGATGACATTATGAAATTCAGCTTTTATAAAGAGATTCCTGTTTATGTACTTCCGGAACGCAATAACATCTATGACGCAATACACACCAAATGACGCCATATCGATCGTTGCTACTGGTTTCACGCGCTTGGCGCTATTGGTTTTCCCGCGCTACAGTTTGGCGGTGGTAGTTTCGGCGTTGCTATCTAAAAAGTCATAGCGTGTCTAGCTCGTTGTTTATAAAAGCTGTTGAACAGTAAGGTTGTGTCATTTGCAGTTTTGGGTGAGAATGGAAAAACGTTAAAGTTCTTCAGCATAATATTTCTTGCTAAATTGACAACTTGATGCGTTTCATGACAATAAATAGCAATTATGACAATAAAATGTGTTCTTTTTACCACAAAAATTTTAAATGTACCATTCAAACAACGCTTGAATTTTCTGTATATACAGTATAATTATACATATTTTCCTTAAATGTGATCTTCAAATAGACATTCTAAAAATAGAATTCAACAAGAGGAACAACTCAGTAGCTTAGCATAGTATAACCGTATATAGTTACCTAATTACTTACCTTGAATCTATAAATATATTCTACTTTCGAAAAAATGACGTCAATTGAATAAGTTTGGAATTTAAAATAGCTATAACTTTTTTTATTTTTAGAGATAGAGTATTTTTCCATAACACATCTACCAATTGAAAAGTGTTTTTTACTTTTTTGATATGAGGTCCGGTTAAAAAATAAAAAAAAACAGTGTATAACGCTATGGAGTTTTTTGAAATTTGAAAAATAGCCGTAACTTTTTTATTTTTAGAGATACAGTTTTTTCTTTTGCATTTTCCGAAGTCCATAACACCTGTACCAATTAAAAAGTGTTATTACTTTTTTGATATGACTTTTGGTTAAAATGTTGACTCTCCGTCCTCTTCCCCTGGGGTATTTTTAAATTTGAATTTAATGACGTCATTTAATTAAATGACGTCATTAAATTCAAATTCCAGATGGCGCGTAAATTTCAATTTATAGCAGGTTAGTGTTTTTATTAGTTTTATGATATTTTCTTCCCTTATATTACTTATATATAATGTACGCTTCAACTTAAGCCTGACGTTTGAAATTGTTGATAAAAAATTGAAAGTTTAATGTTTAAAGTGGTGTTGAATGTTGAAATCATAAAAGAGCTGTTACTATTTTATTTGTACAGATATTCTAAAACTTCTGGCATTTTTCGAAGTCCATAACACCTCTACCTATTAAAAAGTGGTCTTACTTCCTCTTCCTTCCGGGGGGTCGTACTTTGGGGTATTTTTTCTTTTTCCTTTATAGCTGCCGGAAACCCTTTTTTTTTTATTATTTATGTTTTTTCTTATTTATTTCAGAGATTGAAGAGGAAGACCCTCATGATAATAAGCGTTTAAAGGCCTATTCAGATGAGGATGAAACAGAAGCTGAGTTGTCTGATGCAGAGTCTCTAATAGATGATGAGCCGAAACCTTCATGTACATACATGAACCCCTACTCACACTCACCACCCAAGAGGAAAAGAGGGGCATTCAGTAATTTTCTAGAGGCGTCTACCCAAACGAAGACGAAGAAAAAGGAACGGTAGGAAAATTAGACAACGAGGAGGAGGAGACAGAGCAGAAGGGAGGATATATAATTGTAAGTTGTATTCATTCCTTTTCTCTCATGTGAATTGTTGTACATCTTACGTTGTTTATATATCGTTCTATGTGTTTTCTATTGTTATATTTTCAGAGTAATGATGATAATAGTGAGGGGCAACGACAGACAAGAAAGACAAGACGAATAATTAGTGATGGTGGAGAAGGAACGTGTAAGAAAGAGGAGGAGTAGTAGAAGTAGTGAACCGGAACATGACGAGGAGACGAAGTTAATTGTAAGTTG